TCGCCATTCGCTGACGGTCGGATGCGCACGCCCCGTGAACGAAAACGGACTACCACAGCGCACGAGAGGAAGTCGCCAGGGATCGTCTTGCGCGGGCGATGTTCAGCTCYCCGCGCAGCACAACGGGAACCCAACGCGTGGCCTTGCGCGCAGTCGAGAAGCAAAAGACTGGGAGAAGATAGCGCTCGCGCGGACCTTATAGTGCTCGCGGTGACATTTCCCCTCCCTCGGCGCGCAGATCCCGCCCGGACGGCCTCCACCACACCCCTCCACACGACGACAGCGACGATCACCCATTCCTCATGGGGGGAGACCACCCCAAATACCCAGGGACAATGCGGTCCGGGGAATGGACGGCCCTGCCCTGGAGAGCCAGCGACTCAACATTTCGAACCGTGCGAGGGTACACGGTCATCGCGCACACCATCCCCCGCCTTGTTTCCTAGATTTATGTCGTCGTTTGGAGGACCAGCACCACATTTCGCGACGGGCCAGATGGCGGGCGATTCCACTTCAACGGCTTGACAAACCTCATGCCACCGGCGTCAAGATCTATCCCTTATCGCTCTGGCAATCTCCATCAACGCCGTGCACATCATCTTGTTCGCCTCATCTGACGCCGTGTAATGCCTCTCCAGTATGTCACACTGGCGCTTCTGGGCTTCAACCTCCCGATCGAGGATGTCACAYTGCCGCTCCAGGATGCTACACTGCCGTTTGCTTGCACCCTCTACCGTGTCCGTCATCAATGAACCGTGTTTGTCCATGACTTCGGCGATGGCGTCGAAGGTCTGCTGCCGCATGTTCTTCCTCTTCGCTGGAGTGCCCGTGCTCCCTGCACTGAACCCCGTCTCCCGCGCTGAACCCGCATCTTCGTCAACGCCATCACCCCCCTCTCCACCAGCAGAGGACTCTCCACCAACGGCCGCCTGGTGGTGACCATCCATTGCTGTCGGCACTCCTCCGCATGCGCTCGTGTCTGCCACGTTGTCCGGGTAGATGGTCTTGTTATTTTTTGACATGTTGTCAATCTCATTAAAGACTCGCTCATCCATTCGAAAGTTGAAACCCTCGTCCGCTCTCGTTGCAGGAGTTAATGTGAAGAAGTTTTTCCCACCGGACATGTTCTGGTAACGCTGCACCTTCTTGTACTGCTGGACGACGTTGTCCCACTTCTTCCCTATGTCGTCCGTTGTTCTGTCCACTCCGACCTCCGCCAGCCGCTTCTGCAGGTCCAGCAGCTTCCACTCCCTGTTGCGCATGCGGCCGTAGTTGTGTGGCATTCCCTCGAAATGAGCTTGCTGATCCCGCTTCGCTCGAGCGAGCTTCAGCATCTCCTCCACACT